TGCGTGATTGTTGATGAGAACTGAAAGACGAATGAGGTCGTGCAGCAGGTCGTTGATGTGGTTGCCAAGGAATTGCTTGCCTTCACCATAATTCCCTCCCGGTCTGCCTCTCCAGACATTCGAGAAAAAGGCCAGGAACGCTATACATGGAATGTTAATTCCGTGTTGAGTGCCGAAGCAATGGCCAGCAAAATGCGATCTTTACCGTCCCTGGCCTTCTCGGGACCAATCTGTCTACAAGAAACTAAATGGGACAGTAACGGGCCGGGAGAAGCTAAGAGCAAGTACCCTACCATTCAGTTGGTATCATCTCCTGCCATTGTCACCGATAAGGGTGGCCTTAGCGGGGGTGTAGCGGTAGTGTTCGCTTCAGGGATACAGCCGTACATACTGAAGAAATCGTGCCTGGCTATTGTATAGCCTCACGTTAAAATATAGAGGAGCCATTATGACTGTAATATCACTCTACGCGCACCCTGCTTGTTCCTTACGGACCATCCGCACCCTGTTGTGATAGGGGCAGATTTCAACCAAATCAAACAGGACAGGCCCACCGGGTTCGCTGAACTAGTGGAGCAAGCCCGTTTGATTTATGTTGAATCCCCTCAACCTACATATGTTTCGGGAGAGGTCAAATCCTTTTTAGATGGGTTTTTAGTTTCCCATCAGTGCGATGGTCAGGTGGGCAGAGTTGCGCCTTTCTGGCCACACAAGCTGTACAAAGACCATGCGGCAGTGAGAGTGAAAATTAAGTATCATAGGCCGTTAGCAGTTGATCTCCCAACCGTAAGATAATGCTTCATTCCTGCTGACGTGTTCCAAGACCCTTCCCCAAATGGAGGCGCAATAGACGACTCTGTTGTTACACCGCCTCACCTTATTTTATTGAGACAGCAAGCGCAAAGATTAGGACTTGAAGCTCCTGTCACCCAGGCTGAGTGTCCCCCAGTTAAGACTCATAACGCACTACGCCTCCATAGCCTTAAAGCCTTGTCACATTGCTGGTACCGCACGGTAGTCACTAGCGGGTTAAGACCCATCAATATTAACAGCGCCATTAGGTATTTTAGGAAAAAATTACACTCCCAGGCAACGTTTGCGCATGTTAAAGCGGAGCGGATACGGCTTGCCTCTAAATACGCGCAGATACCGGAAGCCTTTAATCAATCCTCAACACATGTTCGAGGTATAGCGTCTTGCCACATTCAGGAAATCGTCAACAGGCTCGAATTAGTTAAAGAACTCTCTAGAGCTCCTGCGCCTAGCATCAGAGCCTTCGTTTCGCAACGACTTCCAACCAATTCCAGTACCTTCGCATGGAAAAACTTCAGACAAGTTGTACCCAAAACTAAACAAGGTACACTTAACATTCGCAATCAGGCTGGGGACATTGCGACCTCACTTAAGGCCTACGATGCAGCCCTAAGGGAGACCAGGCTCTTTTGGGAAATACAGCCAGTTAATAAAGAGCCTAATTGGGACTACGTACTAAACCCTTACCGGGATAATGATAGACTCCCAAGCTTCGACTTTCCTTCACACGAAGTCTTTTCATTCGCGGTAGTCAATTCTAAAGACAGCGCTCCAGGCCCGGACGGGATTCCTATGCCTTCTACAGAGAACTCCCAAAGTACTCTATCCAGGTTCTCGAGGATACGCTTCTTGACATTGTAACTGGAGAGGTACCCCCCGCCTTCTAAGCCCTTGTCTTCATACCCAAAGCGGACTGTGGTCCTGAAAAGGCAGACAATTATAGACCGCTCGGCATGCCCAACACAATTGATAGATTACTCATGATTACTCGACTCTGTAGTGTATACTGTCGCATCGCAGGCGATATCAGACTCCCTTCATCCCTCTCAGTCACTGATCAACATATTTAAAGAACCGCCGAGTAATTTTGCTGCAACGCAAGACCCACTCTATCAAAGGAATTCTGATAATTATGTGCTTCTTACTGACCTGGCGAAGGCCTTCGAAAAAATCAATCCCAGGGAGGCTCAATATCCCCCAGCCTCAACGAAGAGGGAAGCTCCCGTTCGGAAGGGCTTGGCCTCGCTGAGGCTAGCTCTTTGCAAGCAAATCGTACAACATATTACACCTGCTACGTTGTCATTCGCTGAGAGTAAATCTCTGTCGCAGCTTATCCAACTCTGTCAAAAAAACCTTGGGCTCAACATTGTCCTGTCGTGTCACACAGTCGCACTAGTCATTCCTTACCATGTCGATTTAATTGATTCTAATACTGTTGACATGTTTTTGTTGCTTTGCTCCTGCAAGAATGTACGTGCAAGTGCAAAACATCAATTCTTACCTCTAGCCCTGACCTTGTTGGGCTGGACTCTTTCCGTTGGGGAACGCAAATCTTTACGCAATCGGCCGGCATGTTAGGATTTGTACCTAGAGGAGTTGGGCCATATCAGCTATTACTATTATGCCCTCTGTCTATATTAGCGTCAACGAACTTCTCGAAATTAGGGAACCTCGTGAATTGGATGCATTGTTGCGCGGACCGTGCCTATACAGATATGTGAGAAGTTGTCACACCCTGTAATTGGAAAGTGCACCTGGATTGGACTTAACGCCGGCTTTTTTTGTCCGCGCGGGCGCTACTCTTAATTCCGGAGTCAGTCGCCAAAGAGACATGTAGAAAGGAAAAAAGCACAAGACACTAATTACGCCGTAAGGGGCAGCAGAGTAACATAGCATCACTCCCATGTCTCTTACGGCAAGTCAGCTCATTTGTTCTCTAACAACCAGCTTCTGTGGTCGCTTCAGTTATGTCCTAAGCGCAATAACGAACCAATTTTTAAAATTCAGCAAAAGTCGCACAAACAAACAACTAGCTACACTAAGATAGTACAATTGTCATGATCGCTACAGAGTCGTCTCATTGTGCCATCCTGACGGGGAAAAACAGCGATTAATCAAGGTAATGTTTTCCCCATTTTCCCGCTTGTGTCTCCACTACGTCTTCAGGCATGGGACTCAGGTTTCCCAGCGTCTCCACAACCTGGAACTGCAAGCTACACCGTGGGACTCAGGTCGCCCAGCGTCTCCACAACCTGGAACTGCACGCTACTCTTGGTCTGTGGGTCCAGGTAAGGGCCGCGTAGCAGGCAGCTCAGTAGGGATTTGCGTCAGCAATTCCGGGGGGAGACCCTCACTCCCTTTGACTGGCGCTGGAATCCATCCTTGGTAATGAGGCGGTGGAGATTGCCAATATCTCCGGTGTTGCTGCGCTTGTCACGGACCCTCACCTCAGTGCCACACCCTTTAAGACTCCTTGCGGAAAGCCCGTTCCCCATCGAATTCCATCAACTGGACTAAGTGGCCTTGGAGTATTCTCCATCCAAGCCCTCGCCCAGTGCAGATGTTACAGGGTGAGAGAGTGGAAAGGCAACTTGCCGCACTGCCCGACTAGAGGTCAAGGGTTGGGCCTGAAGCTTGTATCTTGGGCTCTTCCAGAACCGAGGTGGTCTAGACGGCGTAACTGATGGAGAGTCGCCACTTCTAAGCCAGAGCACAAATTCAACGCTTGCCTAAAAGCGTTCTAAGACTGGATCCATTCCAAAAGGGGTGCCAAAAGCGCTGTCATAGGTAGACGGTTAGAGGCACCTGCCATTGCGAGCGTAAGGCCATGCGCAGCTTAGTTTTTTTGGATAAGGTGCTCTGAAGCGTAGAGTAACCCAGCTGGCTCTCTGCACTTGCGTGGGCACATGCCACCCGCATCTTGTCCTTGAGTCTTGCCGGACTTCTCTTTCACTTCTAGGCTTCCACTCGAGCTTAAAGGTCTGTGCTTGCCATAACTCACCCTGTCCTTGCTGTTTGCAAAGTAAACTGCTGGAGGACTATTCCGGCAAGGGTGGAACATGTACATACTGTCTGTTAATGCGTTGGTCATGTCGTCGCCTATTGTGAACAGCGCAAGTCTAGCCCGTGTTCTGAAAGCGCTGCATGGCATCCAGCAATACAGCTTTCCAAAATGGAGGCATCAGGAGACTTGATCTTTGACAGATTGACCCCTTGAGTGCTTGGAATGTCGAGTTTGCTATGAGTCGTTATACCACCTCTAAAACAGCGGAGTGCAATTTTTTTCTTCGGAAAAGTGTTTGCCCGCAGCCTCCGTGACACACATGGCAAGACAGACTGCCAGGACAGCAAGATCCGCCTTCTCCTGATCGCTAGGACAAATTTCTTCCTGGCCACTTGCTGTCTTTCGGTCATGAACTTAAACATCCTTAGTAATCGCTGGGGTGTTTAAAGGAAAATTTGGCGGGATTCAAGACTGCGTGGCGAGAAAGCATGTAATGTGTTCAGACAGGCTCGAATCCTGCGGTTCTTGCTTGGTAGTTGGCAGTTCACGAAGCCGGGCGCGGCGTCGCGCGCGGAAAGAATTAACCGTTCTAAACGCCGCGCCGCTCCAGGCGCCGCGACCTCAATATCAGGCTGCGCAACAATAAAGCGGGGGCCGCTCCAGACGCTACGCCTTTAAATAAGGCGTTTCTCTTCAATGCACATGCCTATTGAAGCTGCATTTAATTCAAAATTCAGAATGAAAGCCAATATATTCTTGCTTGAAAGAAAAAATCATAGCTTCCACAGCAGCAAATGGCAGTCCTGCGCCGCTCCAGGCGCCGCGGCTTTTCCTAAAGAGTATCTCCCACTAAACTCACTACCTAGCTACCCCACCTGACAGCCTACCTTGTTACGTATTACCAACCAGGTTCCTTTCTGGCTTCTCTGGCTACTGTTCTGGCCCACCTCCTGGCTAGCTACTTACCTGGCTACCTACCTGACTAGACTCCCCAAACTCCAAAAGCAGCACTACGCTCTCCTTTTCTGCTGACAAGCTCCAGGGTGCAATTGAGATTTCCCAAAATGGAATTCCTTTCGAAGTTTCCTCACGCTTCCTATTAGAAATGCATTCCTGTGGAAACTCAAAACTCAAAAGGACCTCGCATTTTGAGAACTGGCTCTGGAAAACTGCGAAAACTGCTTTAGTTGAGCTGTCGGACGCCGACCACTTCCAAGTCAGCATCCTCATCATCCGGATCAAAAAGCTCGCTCTGAACACTTGCCTGGTCAAGATCATCTAGCAAAGGCTCCACATCTGCTACAGCTGCTACAGGCTCAGCTTCTAGCTCAGGCCCTTCGACAAGATCTGCAGGCTGCTGCAGCACCTCTTGCGCTGCAGGTTGTTTGGCAAACTGCTTGAAGGTCTCCCAAGAAACAGATCCCAGAGAAGCACGCTCAGTCTTCCGCATTTCTGCGAACACCTGGAAAACGTCTGTAAACGAAAACCAGTGCAAAAATTGAAACGTGCGCATTTTTTCATAGAGATGTTTCTCCATGGCCTCGGCTGCTTCTGGGGTAGGGCCCGTGGTATTAAAAGGACGCTTCCCCACTTCCCGCCTGAAGGAAGCGAAAAACCCATCCAACTTTTGAGTCCCCCCAACTCTAACCTCTTCCACCCATTTGCGGCCATTCCAAAGCTTCATTGTGAAGTGCCGCGTGAATTCAGGGTGAGGAGGTTTGTGGCGCACATCGCTATGAGCTAACTTCAGGCGCGAAAAAGAGGGACCTGCCAAAACTCCACTGTACAAAGCTGGCAGAGGCTCATCTGAGTCTAGCTTGTTGTACGCCTTCGCGCTGTCGGTGTGACAGACGCTGCCAATAGCAATTCTGCTACTTCCCGCCGAAGTCACTACAATCTCTTTCAACTCCTGAACACTTAAAGGTCCCCCTCCACCTTGTCCAGAAGCTGTGAGCCTTCGCGGCAGCTGCTGCAGAAACACCTTGGAATGCCAATGTAGCGGATCCATAAGACCTCAAAACCAGCAAACAAACATGAAAAGGTTTGCCTGCCCTTGCAAGACCTTGATAAACAAGAAACAAGCTCTTATAAAGCCCAAGCAACTTTGTCTTCGAGCGGCTTGCTCCGGAAGCTAAGCTCGTCCAACTCGATGTCTGCTCCAGCTGATCCAACGACCAACTCTTCATTCAAACGATCCACGATAGGTGTCAGCCAAGCTCTGAAATTGGAAAACACATCTCTTACAGTTCTGTGACCCAGACCCAAAATAAGTCCAGCTTGATCAGGGCTAACATTGATCGGACACAGGAACAACCAAAGCACACCTATCATGGACCGCAAAGCGCACTTCTTGTTGAATAAGTCGTGGTCGTTCGAAAGCGCTGATTTGGAGCAGCGACAGTTCTTGGTTTTGCAGCGATACGATGCATGGTCTCGCTTGGCTTCAATCCGCCATTGGGATTCCCCACACCAATCACACGCATCCAACCGTCCGTCTTGCAAGAGATCAAGCTCCAAGCACATCTCCAGCAACTCCTTTGTGCTCGCTGACAAGATGGAGTCCAAAGAACACCGCGTCCACAAAGCTGATCTGGACAAAGTTGCTTGGCGACCTCTTTTTCTTTCTGGACTCTCTTGTCTGGGGTCTGTGTATTGCCGAACAGGATGTTGAGAACTTTTTCCAGTGAAATGCTCTTGCAAACGACTTGCAGGCCGCTTGCGAGGCGCAGGCGCATTGCTAGGGGCGGCTTCAGCTGGAGAGTCTTCATTGCGAGCACCTGGTTGTCGTCGTTTTGGTACTGATCTCACCCTTCTGTCTCTACCTGCAGGACCCATTATCACCTGACCACCATTCCAGGGAGCAGACATTGGAGAAGGCTTTACACGAGCCATGATCCAGCTGAGAACCAAAAACTGCACGCAAAAACCTTTACAAATCAAGTAGCATCAATGTCTGAGAAATCCAACGCAGTCTTGTCTTTCTTTCTATCTGCTTCCAGCTTTCTACACTGTTCAACAGACATGTTGTCCGACATTTTTCTTAAATGTCGACGTCCAATTTTTGAAAAAGGAGGGTTCATTTGGAGAGGTTTGGCAGTCTGCAGTTGGAGATGCTCGAAGGCTATACCGTCCAGATGATGTAGTTCAAAGACAAAGAGTTTTCTGCTTGTAGTCTGAAGCGGTGTGCGCACACGGTCCAGTGACCAGAGCAGCAGAGAGAGTGCCTGGTCCAGAGAAGGATGAGGATCCTCCACATCATTAGGCATGGTCCTGTCGTCACTCAAGCCAATTGGACAGGCTCTCAGCTCTTCTTGCTGGAAAGTCCAACATGCTGCTATGGGAACGCTTACTATTCTCTTGCGCAGGCACACAGAACGGCCTTGCTCTGCTTCAGTGATGGACAAGCCTAAATCCTTTGGAAACTGCGGGTAAGCAACGGCGTCAGAGTTGAGAAAGTTTTCAAAAGAGTGCTGTATCAGACTCCATCTTCAGAATATTTTTGGAAAGAAAGTTTAAGTTCGTCACCAAAAATTGCATAAACAGAATTGTGAATCTTGAGACAGGAGAGGAGGTCCTCATCCAAGTCGACGTAAGACGGGGTCAACTCTTGCAGGTGACCGATTCGATCCTAACCTTCCGCCTTCAACAGCGCTGATAGCAGCAGCAGTCAGAGATGATGAATCGCGTTCAGTTTGGCTGTAGAAGCTGTCGTGAATCCACAAAACAGTTGTCTCATGGTGTTGGACATGAGTGGCAAGCACTTTGGTGATGCTTCCAAGACAAAGTTTCAGTAGATGTCGTTTTCGAATATCCAAAGTCAGGAGAGTACCAGCTTGAGCTGTTCCAGTAAACAGCAAATGCGTGTCCGCGCGGTATCTGTTTCTTTAAGAACATGAAATGATCGCAAGTCAATATTCTTACCTCTGTTTCGCATGTAACCTTTGAAGCCACCGTAGTCAAGCAGAACTGCAACATGCAACAATCTGTTGGCCGAAAGCTCCTCGTATTCTGACTTTTAGAGTAAAACTTTGTCAAAGAAACTCCTAGCCTGCACTAATGATGGGAAAGAGTTCGTCATACAAGTCTAAGAAATCTCTGGGCCGAACATGAGGGTTATAGCTCCTTTTGATGGAATGTTTGCTTGACGGCTTCCAAGCTACCCCTGCAAGAAAGTCAGCAACTTTATTGCCGACCCTGGGGACGTAAGCTCAACGAATCTCGACATTAGTTCTGGCAACAAAAATTTCTGATTTGCTTTACCCGGCAAGAACTCGCTGAAGTCCAAGTTTAAGCTTGACGGGCTTTGACAAACCAAGTAGTAGCAGATTCACCAAAATGAAGAATGCAGGCCTTGGTTGTAATCTCGTTCAACGTGCAGTCCTGCTGGATTTATGTCTAAAAGGGCATAGTAAGCATCCTCGAGCTTCACGCACAACATTCTTCCTGAAAGTATCTCCAAGACAACGGGGATCTGCAAAAATAAGAACAAATAAAAAGAAAAAAACGATCAGTAAGACTATGCAGAAAACAGAGTAACTTCGTTTGTAAACTGCAAGCTGGAATCTTGGCTCTTGAGCCCCGGAAACGGTTCATTCTAAGTCCAAGTCAGCCAACAATAGACCTAATGCCCGTCAGTTTTCTGCAGCGGCGCGAAAAGTGTGGACACAAGAGCGACTCCAAACCGAAACATAGCATACTCTCTCTCTCTTCTGTAGCAACTCCCAGATCCCTCTGAAGGCTATGCGCAGCCAGTCTGAATGAAAGTGCGCAGCATCACATCTTTCATTCGACAGCACGCAAGACTTCAGGAATGCAGCCACGGAGCCGGGGGACTGCAGATCTGCAGCGATCTGCAGGCGGGCGAAAATGTCTTATTCCAACCGCCGGAGTGGCCGCGAACTGTAGGAGTGAGGCACGGAGGCAGAGCCGCGTTGAAGTTTCGCAGCTGCGCAGCACGGGCGCGGGCGTGGGACGCCGTCCGTGGTCACGACGTAGCTGCCTTGTCCTGGACGAGGTCGAGGATCGCCTCCGCGGCCGCGCGCGCCACTGTCTCCGCGTTCTTGTTGGGCAGGGCCCTGGTGACTGCCTCCTTGGTGAAGACGTCGGTGAGCACGAGGCCATACTTCTTGGCTACTTGTTCTGGGAGAAGTCGATCAGATCGGCCTGCAGGCGGTCGCCCTCTCGGCCGCGCTCTTCCCCAGGTTGCGGGGCTTGGGCGCCAGCACCTGCCTGGCCACGTCTCCTTTCAGAGCGTCCCTTGTCCGGTTGACCATGACGGCCGGAGTACTCGCACTTGGCGATCTGGTAGAGCTTCCGGGCGTCCCTCACATTGAAGT